GGGGGGGGGGGTGGGCTGCGCGGGGCGTGGCGGGCCGGCCTCGGCGCTCTGGCCCCCTCCCCCGCCCCCCTGACGTCAGCCCCCGGCAGCTGCGAGCTCCCTCACTTCGCTCTCGCCCTCCGGCCGGGAAGCATGGGACGGTCCGGGCTCATCTGCGCCTTCCTGATCGCCGCCTGCTGCTGCTGTCGCCGCGCCGCGGGTGAGTGAGCTCGCTGGGGGCGTTGGCCCGCGCCCCCAACGGAGCGGCCCGGCAGTCTTCGGCGGAGCGCGCCCGGGAGGAGAGCTGGCATCGCGGCGGGGGCCGGGGCTTTGCGCTGCGTCGTGCGCTCCTCTCTCCGGGTCCCAGGCACCCGGCGCGTTGCGCGCGTGCAGCTCTTCTTTGCAGCCAGTTTGCAGCCTCTATTCCAGACCTTCCCGGGAGCAGAACTGGGGAGGCGGGGAGGGGGGCTGCTGCCTGGAGCGGGAAGGGGTGGAGCCAAGTCCCTGGGGCCGCTGGTGAGAGCTTTTCCTCAGGTGCTTTCTCTGGGGAGCCCGTGATTGGAGCCTTGGCGGGAGGCGCCTCTACAGCGCATCCCCAAATCCTGAATCCCGCGCCCGCCTGTTGCTGGGAAAGGCAGCTTTCTTAGCTGGAGGGGTGCGCCGACCCCTCCCTCTCCCGCCTGGGCTTCGAGCCAGGCTGGAGGTGAGCGAGATGGGGAGGAACGGCGGCTCCCACCCCGGCAGGGCGTTGGCAAAGCCTGGAGGGCGGTGTGGGTCGCCTCGCGCCTACCCGGGTGACGGGATCACAGGTGGCAGGGACGCGGCATCGAGCATTACCAGAGTGGAAGCGCCCCAGACTTGTTACACCTCCCGGAATGGGACCAAGTTCAGGTGGGAAATGCGCCCCTGCACCTCGGAGTTTTTCTCTGGAACTGCCTAGGAGCCGGGCGCTCCCGGGTTCACGCTGCCCTTGTATGGCCCGCAACGGTGTCGCTTGTTTCTCTTGGCTCCCTTTCCCGGGCTCCAGCCGCTGCCTGGCTTAGATACCCTGGTTGGGTATCTAAGCAATACCCAACTCGATGGCCTCGTGCCCATGCCGACGGTGTCCCTGGGGTACCCTTGGCTGCTGCCTTCCAATCCCTTCTGGGGAAAGGGCTAAATCGGGCTCCACCCGCTGCAGAAGGTCCAGCCCCACCCGGCCCTGCTCTTCTAGCTCTGGGGAAACGGAGTCAGGGGTGTGCAGCTTTTGCTCTGGGTTGAAGACCCCTCCATCTGCCCTTGTTATCTGGGAGCCAGCCCAGGCCAACCACCCAGGCACCCGAGTCCAGCCAGATGGTATGGAGTGACATCACCTCCTCGCAGGGCGGGCAGCGCACTAGCACCACTGACGTCACTCCTGCCCACTGCCTGGCCCTTGGCCTGACCCCTGCCCTGACCCCCGGGAGAGATTCTGGCCCCCTCCGTGACTCTGACCCCTCCATTCTCACAAGACTCCCAGGATGGGGTCCCCTGAGAGTGTTGGATGTTCACGGCGGTGCTGCTTAAGGAGTATGAAATAAGGGCCTCCTGGCCAGCGTTGCCTTTTGGGTTTTATGGGGGATTTGGGGAGGGGGTGTGGGGGGGCGAAGGGTAGAGATGTCTTCCTCTGGGTGTGGGGACAAAAAGGGCCTGTGTGCCCCGGCCTGGCACATGCCTTGCATTCCCACACTCTGAGCTCACCCGGGGAGGAGGGAGCCTGGAAGGAAAGGGGCCTTCCTCTTGGCCCAGAGCCTGGGTTGCCCCTCTGCCAGCCTCATCTGGGAGGTTCCTGGTGCTCAGGGTCTCTGCTCCAATGACCAGAAATGTCCATCCCCAACTCCCTTGAACCGGGAGAGGGCCGGCCCAGGGTTGAGGGGTAAAGAGTGGTTGAGGGGTAGGAGAGGACAGTGCCCTTCAGACCCTCGAAGTGGCAGGAAGAGCAGCTGCAGCGAGCCGGGTGAGTGGAGGGCATGGAGAGCAGCTGGAGCTGACACAGCTCCTCCCCCACCCCCTCCCCGCCAGGTGTGCCTGGAGAGGCTGAGCAGCCCGACCCGGAGCAGGTGGAGGTGGAAGTGGGCGGCACGGCCCTTCTGAAATGTGGCCCCTCCCACTCCCCGGGCAACTTCAGCCACGCGGACTGGTTTTCTGTGAGTGCGTGGGCCCCAGAGAGGGCAGCAGGGGCGGGAGGCTCTGCCCTTCATGTAGCCCCAGGACGCTCACCTCCTCCCTGCCACCTCCCCTTAGGTCCACAAGGAGAAGCCAACACTCATCTTCCGCGTGCGTCAGGGCCAGGGCCAGAGCGAACCTGGGGAGTACCAGAATCGGCTCAGCCTCCAGGACAAAGGGACTACTCTGTCCCTAACAGGCATCACCCCCCACGATGAGCGCATCTTCCTGTGCCAGGGCAAGCGCCCTCGGTCCCAGGAGCACCGAATCCAGCTCCGTGTCTACAGTGAGTGCCCTGTCCGTGCCTTGTGGGCAGTGTGTGGGGCTTCGGAAGTGGTGGTCCCATGCCCCTCCCCATTTCTCTCCCTTGTAGAAGCTCCGGAGGAGCCACTCATCCAGGTCAACGCCTTGGGCATTTCTGTGAACAGTGAGGAGCCCGGGGAGGTGAGATGTGCCGGGGTGGCCGGCGGGTAGGCAGGAGCTAAGGTGGGCTTGGCAGGGTCGCAGAGGCAGGGAGACTCACACCCTGTTCTCCTCAGGTTGCCACCTGTGTGGGGAGGAATGGGTACCCCCTTCCTCAAGTCACCTGGTACAAGAACAGCCAGTCCCTGGAGGAGGAGGAAAGCCGTAAGTCATCCCCTCTGCCCTTAAAAGCCGTGCTTGTGGCACAATACGGCGACCACCCTGCATTTTATTTTACTTTTTTGGGGGGGCCACACCACGCAGCATGCGAGATCTTAGTTCCCCAACCAGGGATCGAACCCGTGCCCCCTGCATTGGGAGCGCAGAGTCTTAACCACTGGACCACCAGGGAAGTCCCTATTTTACTTTTTTTTGAAGTACGCAAGTGATCCTTGAAAATCTTCTCATAAGAATTCAAACTATGGAAAATCTAGAAGGAAAATTTCCTTCCTGCCCCAGACCCATTCCCAGAAATAGCTCTGCTATCAGTGTGTATGTATTCACACTGATGCAATCCTTGATTTCAAGCCTCCTTCTAGGTACTTACTCACACATGTAAATATATCTAGGACTATATAGGCTTGTGTTTTTTATTGTCTAAATCAGTGGTTCTCAACTAGGGGTGATTTTGCTCCCCTCCGGAACACTAGAGTGTCTGGAAATATTTTGGGTTGTCGCAAATGGATAGGTGCTACTGTCATCTAGGGGGTAGAGGCCAGGGATGCTGTAAACATCCTACAGGGCACAGGGCATATCCAGCCCCAAACGTCAGTGGTGCTGAGGTCGAGAAACCCTGATCTGAATGACACTGTGCGCTACACATTGTTACACAGCCTTGTTTTCCTTTTGACAACAAGTCTTGGAAATCTTTCCAGGTCACTCTATTTAGATCTACCTGATCGTTTACCTACTGCCGGCATTTCACACGGTGTATATAATATAGTCTAGCTAACCATTCATTCCCATTAGTGGATGTCCAGAGTCTTTTCTCATTTCCTTTTTTTTCAAATCCCTGCAGCAGTATTTGCACACATCCTTGTATGTGTGCCTATGTGCGTTTGTCTAGGGTAGATTTCGAGCAGGAAACTGCTGGGTTGAAGGGCCGCAGCTGGCATTGGTACCTGGCCCTCTACAAGGGCTCCCCTGCCATTCCGCCGACCCAGGAGATCATAGGGTGGGGTTGGAGGCGGAGCTGAGGCCAAGCCCTTCGCCCCTTCCTCCCTGCCCAGGGGTCCTCATCCAGTCGTCCCAGATCGTGGAGTCGAGTGGCCTGTACACCTTGAGGAGCGTTCTGAAGGCACAGCTGACCAAGGAGGACAAAGATGCCCAGTTTTACTGCGAGCTCAGCTATCGGCTGCCCAGTGGGAACCACATGAAGGAATCTAGGGAGGTCACTGTCCCTGTTTTCTGTGAGTACCGACCCATCGCTGTGGGGCTGGGTCCTGCTAGCTCTTGGGCTGAGAGCTGCCCCCTTTGCCTGTGCAGACCCGGCAGAGAGAGTGTGGCTGGAAGTGGAGCCTGAGGGGATGCTGAAGGAGGGGGACCGCGTGGAAATCAGGTGTTTGGCTGATGGCAACCCCCCGCCCCACTTCAGCATCAGCAAGCAGGTGCGGGGGCCTCTGTTCTGGGTGCAGGGGGGCATGCAGGAGTGGCTGGAGGTGCACTCTGATCACCTTTGTCCTCTCTCAGAACCTCAGCACCAGGGAGATGGAGGAAGAGAGGACCGATGACAACGGGGTCCTGGTCTTGGAGCCCGCCCAGAAGGAGCATAGCGGCCTCTACGAATGTCAGGGCCTGGACTTGGAAACCACGGCATCGCTGCTGAGCGACCAGCAGGAGCTGGTGGTGAACTGTGAGGGGCTGGGGGCCCAGGACAGGGGGACCAGGCTGGGGCGAGAGGGAATTTGCCCCGCCCTGTCCTGCCTGACACGATTGCTGCGTCCCCAGATGTGTCTGAAGTCCGGGTGAGCCCCGCAGCCCCCGAGAGCCAGGAGGGCAGCAGCCTCACCCTGACCTGTGAGGCAGAGAGTAACCAGGACCTTGAGTTCCAGTGGCTGAGAGAAAAGGTACCCAGGTGGGCTCAGGTCTCCGGGGCAAGGGGCCGTGGGGAGGGTGGGCCTAGGAGTGACCTCTGACCCATCTCTCACCCCAGACAGGCAAGGTGTTGGCAAAGGGGCCTGTGCTCCAATTACGCAACCTGAAACGGGAGGCAGGGGGAGGCTACCGCTGCGTGGCATCTGTGCCCAGCGTTCCCGGCCTGAACCGCACCCAGCTCATCAACGTGGCCATTTTTGGTGAGGCCCTAGGCAGAGATCAGGAGGCCCCTTGAAGCCACCTTGAGTTGGGTGGTTTCAAGCTCTTCAGGGACCGAAAGCCACCCGCTGCCCTGGGGGCTCTGGTGGGGAGGGGGGTGGCAGGCTGGCAGAGTTTGCTGTCTCACCCTTCCCCGCCCTGCCACAGGGTCCCCGTGGATGGCACTAAGGGAGAGGAAGATGTGGGTGAAGGAGAACTCAGTGCTGAATCTGTCCTGTGAAGCATCAGGGCATCCTCGGCCCAGCATCGTCTGGAGCGTCGACGGCACGGTGAGCAGGCACATGGCAGCCTCCCAGGCTCTCGTCCGTCCCTGCGCGGGCTCTTCCGCCACGACCCGGCATCCTCCTCACCCCTGAACTGCGTCTCCTTCCTTGTAGGCCAGCGAACAGGACCAAGATCCGCAGAGTGTCCTGAGCGTTCTGAATGTCCGTGTGACCCCAGAGCTGTTGGAGACAGGAGCTGAGTGCGTGGCCTCCAACTCCCTGGGCAGAAACACCACCGTCATTATCCTGGAGCAGGGTAAGGGCTTGGTCCTGCAGAGCGGGGCGAGGGCAAGCCCAAGCAGGGCACATTCCTGTCCCACCCCCGCCATCCGTTTAACCTCTTTCACCCCAGACTCCAACAGAGCCACCAGCCTCAGCACCTCCACCGTCAGTCCCTATGCCAGAGCCAACAGCACCTCCACAGGTGAGCTGGGCTGGATCGGGAGCAGGGCTGTGCTAGGGCATCCTCACTCTGCCCTGACCGGGAGCCCAGGGGAGCTCTGTCGAGAAAAGCGATCGGCGGCCCATCTTCCATCAGCCCTGGGCTGGGCGGGGCCGCGATGGTAACATGGCAGCCTGGGGCAGGGAGTGACTCGGGGTGTCTTTTTGGGACAGAGAAAAAGCTGACAGAGCCCGAAAGCAAGGGTGTGGTCATCGTGGCCGTGACCGTGTGTGTCCTGGTCCTGGCTGTGCTGGGCGCTGTCCTCTCTTTCTTCTACAAGAAGGGCAAGCTGCCGTGCGGACGGTCAGGCAAACAAGAGATGTGAGCACGGCACCTGGCACCCCGCGCCCCACCCCATCTCACGCTGCCAGCTTGTTGCCTCCTCAGGGATGTTCCCCTGCTGGCCCCTGTGCCCACTGAGCCGTTAGGAGCAGGAGGGGGACCCTGGGTCTGAGCGCTCCCCGCCTCACCGCCACTACGCAGCTTCCGTCCACCACACTCCTCCCTCTCAGCCCTGTGGCCCTTCCCTGAGCCGGCCCAGAGCACCTAAGAGCCCTTCAGTACCCAGTCCCACGTCCCTCCCAACAGCCCCCCTTCCCTTGCCCCCGAGTTGCCAACCTCTTGCCTCCCTCCCTCCCCCCAGCACGCTGCCCCCGTCTCGTAAGGGCGAATTTGTAGTTGAAGTTAAGTCAGATAAGCTCCCAGAAGAGATGGGCCTCCTTCAGGGCAGCAACGGTGACAAGAGGGCTCCAGGAGACCAGGTAGGAGGCAGTTCCTGTGGCCAGAGCCTGACACATCTTCAGGCACCGGGAGTGGCCGGGGCTGACGGTTGCTGAACACTAACTTTATCCTTTATCCTTCCCTGTTGGAGATGGGGAGCCAGCCCCATCTTGCCTTCCTAACACCACGCACAGACGGTAGGGCCAGGCAGGTGGCTGAGGGACCCCGAGAGAGGGTAGCTGCCAGGACTGAGAGCAAGACCCCGTCCCATCACCATTTCCTGAACAGCGCTGGCGGCTCACGTCACTAGGTGTGAAGTGTGGCCCAGTGCGATTCGGGGGCCTCATCTCTTATTCCCCGCCTTGCCATCCCCACCCCCTCCCCGGCTTCTTCCCTCCAGGCGGCTGCACCTAGTTCATGAGCTGTGGCTTTGGTCCCTCCTCTCTTTTGGCGCTCACACCCTAAACCCTGGTCAGTGTCTCCGAACACCCCCCTCACTTCTGCTCTTCACCCATCTTTAGGGAGAGAAATACATCGATCTGAGGCACTAGCCCACCGAATCACACGGCGCTCCCTCCCCTGCCTGGAACATTTCCTGCTCCCTGCTCACCTTCCTCCGCAGCACTCAGGATGGTCACCAAAGCCTCTAAAGTGGACTCCACAGAAGATCCCCCTCCAGCTCACCTGCAGACCCCATTTCAGAGGGCACATGGGCTAGGACCAGAGCTGTCCTGAGAAGGACCTCACGTGGCCCTGGAGGCCTCCTCTTCAGGGACCTGTCCACCACTGTCTCAATTTGTTGAGTGACGCTCATGCCAAGGAGGGGGCCCCGGTAGCCCAGAAGCGCACAGGAGAGTTTCTTGCAGAACTTGTCTTCTCTTTACACATATTATGGATGTAAATACCTGTCTTCTACCAGCAGCCGAATTAGGTAGCCTATTTATCTTGAGCTGATTTCCTGCTCCACTGCTCCAGGGCTGGCTTCATGATTCAGCTGTATCACTGAAGTAAGGATGCAGTGAGCCCAGGCCTCTCTCTGCTGGTGAAGTGTGTTGCTCACACCAGTTCTGGAGAGACCCCAGCAGTATCTAGAAGCAGTTGCCTGCCTGCCTGCCTGCCTGCCTGCCTGCCTCTGGAGTCCCCTTTGCGACACTCTTTTCTTTTCTCTGGGCAGAAGTCAGGACCTGGTGTCGTCCCTTAAAAGGTATCCTGGGTGTATCTCATTGTCCCTGCAGTAAGGAAGCTGGGTGCCGCTTTCCAGAGTTAAGGCGATTGGGCCCGAGCCCCCGCATTCATTTGGCTCCCCCACCCTCTCAAGGAATCACGTAAGACTGAATGCTGGGGGTGGGGGTTGGACATGAGGTCCAGACTGTCCTATATGAGGGTTAAGGCTATAAAGTTATATTAGCACCAGACTTCTACAGCCTGAGCTAATGGGTCTAGACCTTAGAAGAAAGGCCCTAATGGGAGAATGGTACTTGGAGATGAGAAACGGGCCTGGCTAGAGCTTTGGGGTATGTATGTCTCTGCGTGTGTCTGTGCGTACGTGTGTGTGTATATATATGGTTTTGTTAGGTTGTAAATTTGCAAATTGTTTCCTTTTTATATATGTGTATATATATATGAAAAATAAAGCTTAAATGTCCCAGAAATCTTACACTGTTTTTTATTCATCATGGGTACCACAGCAGCCTGGGGCCTCCAGAATTGGAACTGCACCAAAAGGAACACAAAACCCTTTGCAGTTGGGAGCAGGGACCAGGGGTTACCTCTGCTTCTGAGCAGAGGGCTCAAGCTCTAACAGAGGGGATAATCAACCTCCTGAGCAGCAAAGCTGCCCTGCTCTATCTAGGCAGCTTGTGGAGCCTGGTGAGCTGCTGGCAAGGAGCTATTGCCCCTCTCCTGTCACTGAGACTGCCCTCAAGGTAGCAAAACAGACTTCTGCTGATGAATTGGTACGAGTAGGCATCTGGCCCTATAGCTCCCCAATATATCACTCCCTAACCCACAAATGACCAAGAACTCGGGTCTGCTACAACAAAAGAAACTTTATTTAAAAATATTTTTTTACAGACATGGGTGCCTGAAAAAGCTCTTTAGTTAACTGTGTATGGAAATGAAAAAAATTAATAAATAACATTAGTATAACAGAACCTCTAAACATTAATACACTGGCAAAACGAAACGGACTTAAAATGAAAATGAATCTTAAAGCTCTGCTATTCTCTGTAAGAATATTTACCTTCTGTTTTATTCTTTACAGGTGAGAATGATTAAATACTGCTAATATAATTTTTTTATATTAATGACACATTTTTAAAATAGTCCACAAAAATCTCATCTAAGTTTTCATTTTGTTTTATTTTTAACACTGATATACAAATGGGACTCTTCATTCTGGAGAAAAGTATCAAGTTCTCTCCAGCCCCACCCAGGCCAAGAATGTCAAAATCCTGAATAAGGAGGACTTTGAAAAGAATTGTTTCTATCTCCCAATTCTTTATTAGTTAAAGGCAGGGAAGAAGTGAGAAAAGGAAAAGAGATAAGTAAAATGTCATCATACAGAAAACTTTTTTTTTTTTTTTGGTCGAAACCTACAGTGGCCACAATACTGAGGACAGGCTTCTGTTCCGGTACGTGGTCCTCGCTGCCCTTCCCAGGGGAAAACTCGCCCCTGCAGAGGGCACTAGTTGCTTAATGCTCTATGTCTGAAGTTTTCAAATGAAAGGAAAGCCAAGTCTAAGGGACAGGCAGGTGGTCTAGGCCAGTTCAGGACCCAGCAAAAAGACAAGACAAAACGAACAACCAAACAACCTCTCCTTTTCGGGAGGGTCCACCCTACACTGTTCCATGAAGTTGGGTCATTAATAGGATCAGGAGGCTGGGTCACTTGAAATGGTCCACAGTATGCCTGGAAATCATGGAACGTTCTGTCTCTTCCTGC